GCTCTCGCTACTGAACCACGCTTGTGAATTGTTTAGGGATAATACTAACGTAAAGTCCATTGAAATCCGTTCTGTGTTCTTCAGATACTTGTTTGTTTAAATAGGCTTTTCAAAACACCGAGCTTTTCTTGAAAAAATTTCTGGTTACATAGGTGAACTTTGTCCATTTGTACGACAGTGCAGAATTGTCTGTAGGCAGCCAACAGAGCTATTAACACTTCAAAAGAAAATGTCACTATCAGTAACTATTCTCTGTGTCAAAGGGTACAGGACAAAGAATGATCATTAATAGTTTGCTAACCCAAGCATGCAGTATTAAGTACTGGGCTCTTAAAATTACCCTGGAGACTATAGGATTTTACTTGATTTTTACCCCAAATTCCAGCACATACTGTTCTAAGCCAGCAAAGTCATACTTCAACTTAAGTCAGTTCAGAGCAGTACAAAAATTTACAAAGCACTGGAAAAGCAATGTCTACAGAAACAGGAAAAAAGACCTCCCTGTCCATCCTTCATGGCTGAAATGCCCTATAGAAATCTTAAGGATGTCAAGGGCTCTGAGGTAGTGAAGCTGTCACCACCGGAAAGTGCAGTGGTTCTGCAAGAGCCTCCTCCAGTACCAAGTGCTTATGCAGCACAGCTCGCTCTTGTGCTGTTCGGCGTAACAGGCAACGGCAGTGCCACGTTGTGCTTCAATGTCCAGAATGGTCACAGGGGAATCGCCCACTGCACCGAATGCAAAGCGAAGCCTTCTAGGGTTTGATCTTTTACAATGTCGGATATGCATTTAGAGGAAGCAATCTTTTAATTTTAGGCAAAAGCTCAGTGCTTCTGGTGACAACGAGGTTTAGATCAGGCTGATATGACTGTTCCCTCCATGCATCAATGACAGATGCACGTAGAAGGAAGCAGCTCTCCACTCAACTATTTTCATGCTATCGCTAGCAGACAGTATCAACTTCTTCTGGAACTGAAAGTGACAGAGGTTCTGCATTTATCTTTTTCTAATTCATCTCAAGGACAGTTTCTATCCCTCAGGTTGGAGAGAGGTGAATGCAGGTAATAGTGCAGAGATGTTTTTTCATGATGAAATAGCTGTAAGGTGTTCTGAGGGAATTCCATGCTGATTTAGGAATCTTCCAGCCCCAGATTCCAAAATACACAGATAAGCAGCATGATCTATATGGGGCTTACTTTGCATGATTAGTTTTCCTGTGAAGGCTATACAAGCAAAACAGAAGGAGAAACATTCCTGGGAGCAGACAATGATTTGTCTACAGATAAAAATGAACTGGCATTTTAACAGCAACGCTGCCATTCCACTTGAAAGACTTCCTGTACGCCAGCCCGCTTCGGCTGGGCAATGCAATATTCCTGAAGGCCAAAAATGCGGTCAGTGGGAAAATCTGGATTGTTTTCTTTGACTTGGTCAGCCCCTGAATATCATCAAGCCATAAAACTGTGAAGGACTGCATACTGAGAGAGACAGATGTAGGATAAAAATTTGCTTTCCATAGTTTTGAAAAAACTGGGGCATTCTCCAAACATTTTCCTGATCAAGAAAATCCAAACACTTTACCTTCTTTGCTGAGTCTTCCAGCCCATTGCATTCAGCCTAAGTTATGTCGTTTCCAAGAAACACGTACTTGAATTCATAAATTCACATGCAACACTACATAAAATTAATATATTTATTACATGAAGTTAACAAAAAACACAAACACAAAGACCAGTTGGAAAACAAACAACAAAATTATGAGCTCTGTTTAAACTGGCATTCAGTGCAAAGAGAGGCTTCTATCCAACTTCTGCAGATCAGAAAGGAGAGAAAAACAAAACACAGCGACAAAATTCAGTAACTACTTCCCCCAGTTCATACAGTTTCTTCAGCTATTATTGTTAGGACTGGACACTGATCAGCTAATCCAGAGAGCCATCGCTGATCAATACATACAAACAAAGAGGCAAGAAGTCCTGAGTTAGGTCCTGATCCAAAGAATGTGAGCAAAGGAACAAGACACTTCATTCCACCAGCAAGGACAAAGCGCTTAAAAAATGAAAGCATTCCTTCTAATTCTTCAGTGACAAGAAACTCTCTTCAAGGAAGGTATCTAGCACTTCTCCATCGTTAGATGTGCCCTATAAAACCCTCCTAGCACTCGCTGCTACCTGCAAAATTGCAGACATCTTGAAAAGAAATTTTGTTATCTTAGCATTGGAACAGGTAGATTTCCCGTATGACAATGAGAGTTTCTTTTTAGGCTTAAACTAAACACTGCTGTGCCCCCAAGAGAAGCATAACACTGAATTCACCCAACATAATTCAAGGTTCATTTTGTTCTGAGATTGCATTTTTTACTGGACGACGGAGTCTTTATGGTTTCTGGAGTGACTTTTTATCCAGGGATAACTTGGAGGTTTATGAGAAGTTTTAAAAATGAGGATTGATATCAGAATCAGAAAACAGTTCCAAACCCACACGGATTCTGTTACTGTTACAATACAGCGCCATCGCCCAAAAGAAAGAGACACTTGGCAGAATGACGAGACGAGTCAGGAAGTTCAGGCTTGGGTGCCTCGGACCTGAGAACGCTTCACTAGAAAGCTTTGCTTCGTGGCCCTTCCCAACTCGAGTGGGTAAATGCTGGTTTACGTGAAGCAAGCTGCTGATCTCCACTGCCCATTGCTGCCAGAGCTGGAGCAGCAGGCTTCCTGCTACGCAGGCTCTGCACCATCTACAGCTTCAGGAGTTGAAACCTGTATCTTAAATTGTCCCCTTGGAAATAAGGAGGCAGCTGCTGTAAACGATGCTGTGCAGAGACACAGACTTGATGATCAACACTGTTGCCAAGCACACAGAGTGCCATTTCTGGGCTAGCTGCAGTTTCCAAGTGACAGGCATGCAGAAAAAATACCAAGGTAATCCAGTCTGGAAGCAACAACGATGTGCACTGCTGCAATAAAACCACCACCACAAGTTCAAGGCTACGATTGCCTGGCACAATCAACAGCAGATGCTTTTTATCACCAATTACCTTCACCAGCTGAGAGTCCAGCTAAATCATTATCTGTCACCAGAAGGGAACTGACATTATTTTCAAGTTTCTTTCCTTAACCAAGAAAACATAATTCCAGGGCTCTTGACGACCTCTGACATACTGTCCAGACAGTCCCTGACACAAAATGTGACTCCAGCCAGCAAGTGAATACACTTACATCAAATGAAATAGCTGAAACCCAGAAAAAGGGTTGGATTAAAAAAAAAAGGAAAAAAACAAAAAGGAAGAAAAAGGCTATTAAAGCAAGTGACACAAATAACCTAACTTTAAGTTACTTAAAATTCAATGACTTGAAGGAGACTTTGCTTCCAGGACTCTTCATATTAAAAATGGAATGGATTTTGGTAAAGATGTATTTTTACCAAATCCCTTCTAGGTTATTTGTCAGCAGCTGTTCTTGGCTGGCCATTTACAGCTATCAAATGCTAAAACTAAAAAGAATAATGAAATCCAGCTGCCTAAAAGAATGCAAGATTCAATAATGCATCTGGGAAAAAGGATGCATAATAGAGAATATGAAGTACATAGAACTCAGCAGAAAAGCAGATGTGCATGGTTCTTTTTATTCAAATGTTTTGAGATCTTTTTTTTTTATGTACATATATAGGTGTATATATATACAAAATACTTGCCACCTTTGGCAGCTGTTGTTTAATGCCAGGATTCTACACACAAGGTAAACACGTACTTTTTGTAATGAAATCTTGTTTAGTCTGATGAGGGGCATGATATACCCAAGCAGATGCTTAGCTCACTAAAGCTGTTTCTGGTCTTTAGTGTTGAGTTTTCTTCCAAGTTTTACTACTTTTAGTATTTTGTGACTTTAAGTCACCCAAGATTTGCCACCACTAACATCACAAACTTTGTCAAGGTGTTTTTTTTTTTTTTTTAAATTCTTCCCTTAATTTTCTTCTTTTTTGTTCCATCTTGTCACCTCAAGCCTCAAAAGTAGACTGAAACATCTCTGAACAATCTCATTTGGAGACACGGTGTGTCTCACAACATGTGCATCTTTTTTAAAAAAATGAAGCAAAGCAGGGTCAACATCAAGCATTTCTAGAAAAAGCATGCCATAATGAGTTTGTAACACATCAGCTAAAGAAATAAATTCTTCTTGTTAGAGAAGCCACAAATGAAGTAGAATAAACCAACAAAACCAACTTCCTCACATATGACACGCTTATGCAGAAGATCTATTTATTCCTGAGCAGGCTGGCAAGTATCCATTGGTGGTCAAGTGGGGGGAGAGGAGGAGGAAACAATTTTAAGCTGAAAACTTTACCGACCAAAAAAGGCACAAACGACAAAAATATTGAGGCCTTTAGAAAAAAAGAGAAAGCATTATGAGAACTATTTTCAAACCGAATATGTTTTACTGATCAAAATGAGTATTTGGTGACGATGATGAAATTGAGTATTAAATAAATTTCTCTTCAACTAACAAAAAGACTGAAGACTTTAAATGCAAAGAACTGTTTGAAGAAGAGACATGTTTATCTCTTTAGAACCTTATCTCCCAGTGTCTTCACATATACAGTATATAAATCTGTGTGTAGAATCAATAGGAATTCAACCTAGAAAATAGTTCCTTTATTTTTATTAGTATTCCTTATATTTCAATCTAATCTTTAAGACTGGCAAAATTACTTGTGACAAGTATTTAACGTTGAGATTATGGGGTACGTTTCTTTTACAGGATTTGTAAAATACATTCTCATCTGCCTGAATGCAGATACATCATCACAGAGGAGACAGTGCATACAATTTACACAAGAGATTTGTAGTAAAATTTAGAGATACACAACCACCAATGTCTCAAGATAATACTTCGAACCCAGGTGCAAGTTTTTCAAACTGTACATGTATTTTCAAAAAGATATAGCCTTTTAAAATGTTTATATATTGAAGCATTTTCATTAAGATCAAACACTTATTAAAACCAGTAAAATTATAGCAGCAATATGGGAGAATATCTAAGCCACATGAACATGAATAATGAAAATAAAAATGAATATGAAATATTACATTACTTGGATGTTTGTGTTAGATAACAAGGATAAGTAACACACCAATCACTTACGCCAAACCATCAAAGAATCTGGGTTTGTTCACTGTACCAACAATACTGTTGTATAGTTCAATCAAAGCTACCATTTTAAAAGAAGTGTCGAATGCTGACTTCCACCAACACTGTTCTGGAGTGCTTCCTGGAGAACGCACTTGAAGCTTTTATTCCAAGCCCAACTATGATCCTTTTTGCATCTTTGCTATAGGAACTAAGGATGCTTTTAAATATGGATTCCTTAAAACTAGGCTTATTTTATTTACACTATTCAAAGTTTAGTTTTCCTTCCAACAACAAAATGTGCAGGAGGATTTACTACATGCTATACAATGTAAAAATAGACTTTAAAAAGCCAGAACAATGTGAGCAAAACTGTACAATGTTTGTTCCCTGCTCCAGTTCATTGCACTATTAAGTTAAAATGGATGACTTGTCATGCCCAGAAGACTTACTGTAGGATCAGAAAATCCACGCACACACAGAGGAGGTAAATGGATTACTAGTTTAGGTATAGTGCCAAATGAAAAAATACTATGAGTTATATCGATGGAAAGCTTCTCATCACAGGAAGGAGCATGGCTAATTCTGAAAGGCAGCCCTCTTCATGTAGGACACAGTACTGCAAAAGAACCACAAATACATCTTGATAAACATGAGTGAAGTTAGTCTGTATAAAATGTATTGTGTATACTAAAATACTTAAATGCTGAATTCTACCCTATCAGTAACATGGTAAAATCTAGAAACCAATTGAAACTGGCAATTAAGATATCATCCTCTTCTCAAAAGATAATTAAGTGACACAACCCACTATCTTTAACTAATATTACCCAGAAATGAGTTAACTAAAGGTCATGTCTTAAACAGTGCTTTTTGAGGTGTTCTATTAGAAAACAGAACATTGAATAAAAGGTGATGCATGCAGTTATATTTTAAAAATATGCACTGACAATCTCAGATTCTAACTCTACTTTCTAATTCTGGTGCGTGTACTTGAATCACACAGTGCGAAGATAAGACACGTCCTTCACGTGTTTCTCATTCCTGTTTCACATGTAAGACACAAACCTCAGAGCAATCCAGCTTTCAAACCAATGCTAGCACAACACAAAAGCAAATAAAGAAGTCAGGTGTAATAATTAAACAAAAACTTTACAGGCATGAAAATCAATGTTCTTGTTATCAGAAATACTTGCATAATTTAAAAATAGAACAAGGGGTAAATTCTTGCTTTATTAAAAAAAAACCTGTGGGTTTTTTAAGCTTAAAAGACCAGATATGAAATACCAAAGCAAGCTAAAAGATGGAAAATGATTCTGCTTTCATGACATCTACATTCAGAAAAAAGCCTGAAAGAAAATAATACTAGACATACTTCACGCATTTTACTCAGTAATAATGTATAGTATATTATTTTTAGCACTGTATTTTTATGTCACAATTACTGTTTAAGGACAACTGGAAAAGAAAACAAAGCTTAGCAATAAATAAATCTCAGAACAGTTTACTGTAAGAATACATCTGATTTCAAATGCATTTATTTCACCTATAAATGCATACATACTTATATATCGTTATATATAACAGTTATGTTTTAAGTATGTCACAATTATTTACATGTGTTCTCGAATTAAGGAAAATGATTTATTCAGTTTGCGTATCATACTGGTAGTATGTTATATTCAAAAATTATCTCAGTACATCAAGTTAAATCTTCCAATTTTGTAAAAACTGGAAGTAAAAACTAATAAACTTGAAATAATGTGTCTAGATGTGATACCAGACAACTTATCCCTAATATTTTGATTCTGTGTACATCTACAGGCTAACATTTCACATATCTCATTGATTTGTTCTCTAAGTAGCTAAATTAAGGAACCCTTGTTTCCAGCAGATTTCCTCAGATATTCCTCCTTACCCCCGTAAAAATAATACTAACTCACTCCCCTTCCCACCATGTCTTCCTCAGCTTCTACTTTAAGTTTACTATGAACTCCATCCCAGCAGGTCCTCCCCATATTGTTCCTCTGTCCTCGTGCCCCCAAACTGATCGGAGCTACTGTAAGCGCATTCACCTGTATGTGAATACATAAAAGCTATCTCGCCAACTGGATGTTGGCTTTTAAAAGCCAACAGCCTTTAGCTCAACAGAAGCAGTGGTTTCAGTCCTCCTCCTACCTAGATGCAGCTCCCTACAGTATTTGTGAAACGCAGTTATTCCCGTAAACCTTCTTTCTGTCTTGTGGGGTTGAAATTGGCAATTGTTCTTTGTGAGGCTGAAGAGACAGACAACACACCTGCACAGAGGCATTTCCTTCAGAAAACAGCCTAAACTTGCATACTTCAAGGATTACAGATGCTACTACTTGTTGCATTATTGTAGTTGGCAAATAAATGATAATGCAGAAAATCATTACATTATACATGCAAGAAGAAAGACTGAGACCTTCTGTAAAAAAAAAAACCTCAATGGGTATAGTCAATACAAACATGCTTTCATCTAAGGATATGGTACCTATTCTTGTTGCAACATCTAAAAACAATGCAACTCCAAGATATGACAAAAATATCTCCATCTGTGCTCCTTGCTTTACAGCTTAACTTGTACACAAGAAACTTAGCTGCTTACTTGCTTGTGTAGGTCTTTCAATGGAAACAAACACAATGTTTTCAAAGCACATTATATTTGTTAAACCATCAAAAAAGATTGGTAGAAAGATGAGCACAAACAGCATTTAAATACAGTGAGCTTACTAAGCTGCCAGCTTCAGTCCAAAAGTGTGCTTTCTAAGATCAAGAATTTCACAGTGTTGGCTTGATACTTCTTTCCCTGTCAGCAAATGCATTCCCCCACCCTCCTCCAAATCTCAGTTTCTGCTTCATAGAATCACAGAACCATTTAGGTTGGAAAAGACCTTTAAGATTACTGAGTCCAACAGTAAACCTAACACTGCCAAGTCCACCACTAAACCATGTCCCTAAGCACCACATCTACATGTCTTTTAAATACCTCCAGGGATGGGGACTCAACCACTTCCCTGGGCAGCCTGTTCCAACGCTTGACAACCCTTTCAGTGAAGAAATTTTTCCTAATATCCAACCTACACCTCCCCTGGTGCAACTTGAGGCCATTTCCTCTCATCCTATCATTTGTTACTTGGGAAAAGAGACTGACACCCATGATCCCTAGTGATGAAATATAATAACAATATATTAAAAATAGATTCAGAAAAACGTAAGCACAATTGCAAATGCTTATCAATGTCACGTTACCACCTATTTTCATTCTAAACCTATAAAACAGAATATGAATCATATGCTGGTGGGAGAAGAACTACAATACACTTGGAAAGCAAATCATTAAGTCCCTTTCATGATTACTAACTTCAGGATGGAAATGTTCACTGAAAAATAAAAGAAATAAAACCCCACAAAAGGAAAAAAATTCCCTTGAAAATAATTTAGGTTGCATCAAAAGTAAGATGAACAAGAGAAGGTAAGTTACTGCATTGTACAAGACTCTACACAGAATATGTACATAGTCTGGCTTTGGGATACTTACCTTTGAGAAGGTACTCCCTATGGAATAGATCCAGGGAAGAGCTAACTAATCACTGGAAAGAGGGACTTAAGCATGAAGACAAAATGATGGTATTTTTAACATTTTGGGGGACACGAGGGGGGCGGTAGAAATTGGGAAAAGTGAATGCTTTAAAGAAGCAAACATAATTTCAAAACTAATAGCCCTATTCAGAAATGCATATGGAGTTTTCTTTTTTCCTAACATGAAATGCACTGAGTTGTATTGGACTAATTCACTTTATTATACTGCATTTGCACATCCCATGTTCTGAGGATTTCTACTTCCACCGTTTCAGAAGCATTATCTGGTTATGAAAAAAAGTGCAAGAATGATCCATGACCTCCACAGAAGGTCAACAGCAGATCTGGTTGCAGAACTCTCCTTCAAGTTCCAGTCCCATGCTCCAGCTCTTGGCCAAACTGCCTTGCCGAAACAAATTTACTCAATCATTATTAAATGAAGATATCAAGTATTAGATGACACACAGGGAGGGGGTCTGTGTGTGTCTTCTTACATGATCCAAATTTAGTCTTTCACAAATTTCAGAATTATTTTGGCATTTAGTCCAAGATATTAAAGATGGTGACACTTCTATGAAACACCATGAAATTCAGAGAAAATATAAACTTATTTCACTGTCTTTTTATCAGAACATCAGTGAATTTGGCAAGATTTCTTGTTAAATCAACACTTACTGCTCAGTCTTACGGTTCCATTAACCTTTCCAGGTTCACAGCATTCTTCTATTTGCCCCATTATGTTATGCCAACAATACTATGGCAATTGTTAGAATCACTTTTTTCCTGGTATTTACTGCAGCTCTTGATTCTAAACAACCTAAGTAACTTTTCAACAGTAACGAACAATATCTGGGCAAGTGTATTACTAATTCTGTGGACAGCCATAACACCTACGTAAGACTAGCATGTTCTAATTTTTCAAACACCATAGAATAAAAAGACAGTGTGTCTTTAAAAAAAATTAAGAACTTACTTGTAAGATTTTTTTTCTTTGCTGTATAAAATGGAATATAGAGCTAGAAAGAAAGTTTTACCTGTGCTGACAAATGCCACACTAACCGATTTCCCATAAAGCTACACATATCCTATTGTCACATAATTTACCGCCTGCTCTTTTGTTGCAAGATTGGAAAAAATGATCCTCAAAGGAACGAGAAGTTAACAGATTTTAACAGAACTAAGTATCTTTGGTGATATAATTGACACATTTCAAAATGTCATTTCTTGACTAAAGCTTAATAAAAAGAAATGGAATCCACTCAGTCTAAGACAATAGCTGTATCATAGAGCAAACAAATGTAAAATGAACACAGCTACCACTACACCACAGGGATTATTATTACTGGGTCCAGAACTTGTTATCCTCCTGTTTCTTTTGGAAAACGAATTCAAACCCCTAAATCCTCATAATCATTTTCGCCTTGCCAAGACATTTTTAATCCTTCTAGTGAAGAGAGCATACTCTTTAAAAAGTAGGTCACTCCTTTTATTTTGAAATTCAGGGAGTAGGTTGGAACTTCAGGTACAAAAGCTGCGCTGAAAGTTGCTTCAAGTGATTGTTTAGAATCATCTCATCTCCCTTTAACAAGCTTTAAAAATAATTTTCAGACAATAGACGGGTGGCTGGGAGTATTTTGTGCCATGTATGAAGCCTCAGTGAGGCTTCAGGCCAGAAGTTTTAGTGGCAGAAAAAGAAGAGAAACAGATTACATCTTCAGCAACAACTGGAAGTCTTTGCCTGTTCCACAGGATAAATCTACATTATAATGTAACACTGTCAGCCGAGCTATAAATATTTAACATAATCTAAACAGAGCAACATGAAGCTTAATTAAGGCTACATTGAAAAGAAGCGTAACATTCTGTGCTCATTAGCTTGTACGACTGCTTGCCGTTGTGCAAACAAACCCACAGAAGAGCGAGAAGTTTATTTCTGTTCAGTAATGAAATCATGGCAGTGGAGGGGAAATCACCTTTTCCCTTCAGTATGAGTGATGCGAGTGAGTGATTACTTTTCATACTCCAATCATTTGTGTTTTGCAATTTAGAGAGACAATGGTGCTTGGATAGGAAGACCTGTTTGATCCAACACATTAAATGTGAGCACGATGTTTTTGTAATTGTTGCATCTAGCTAGTAGAACATCCTTGGTGATTTTAAAGTCACGAGCATGCAGAGGCAGAGGTAGGAGGGAACCTCAGTATCAAGCTTCCTAGATCATCCTGTCATATGTTCAGCTAATCTACTTTTATAAGCCTTCTATGCAGAAGATTTCTCTGTTTCCCTAGGCAGCCAGTTTCTTCTCAGTATGCTAGTAATCTGAAAGCTTTTCTGGACAGCTGCATCTAAAAATAAGAGCAGACACTGTGAAGAGCACTATTCATTCCAATCAGTTTCTACCAGACATATTATGATGAAAAGCAAACAGGTTTAATTATTGACAACATTTCATCCTCTTCGGTCAAAGATTCTGCTTCACAAAACTAAAGTTTAGTGCCATCACCATGAAAAAAACCTTGGTCTTTAGCCTAAATGGCTCTCAGCTCATAAGCAAATACATCTGTCTAATACAAGAAGGATTTTCAGAAAGGGTAAGCAAACAATGGAGCAATCAAAGGAATCAACTGAAAGGATCTCTGCATTCTTATTGTATGTGGTAGTTCTAAACCCTACATGAAACTTAGAAATGAGCCTCTTCCAAGAGGAAGTCTGCCAAGAGCTTCTAGAATAGTGCATGGCTCTCCTTTCAGATTTTCTGAAGCAACAGCACACTAAATTTCATCCACAACTTTAACCTGAAAGTACTTTCAAATTTCTGTGAGATAAGAGTGATTAGAAGCCTGTGTAAGACATACAAAAACCTTTAAAAACATATGGAGGGAATTAAGTCAAAGGATTGTATTTGAAAAAAACAGTAAGACTTGGAAAGCATGGTACCAAAAGAAGATAAAAACTTTGCAGCATATGAACACAAAGCAGAACATAATATACATTAGGGTGGCAAATAAAAAGGCATCCATCATCCTTTTATACATCCGTTTGTTCAGATCTTGGGAGTTTGATGCATGTGCTAAGTTTTAAACACTAAAGAAGATGGTACCATTTGTATGTCAAGAATTAAGTTAGAACATAAGCATTAATAAGATCTAGGCAAAAATGAAGTCAGAAGAAAAATGTTTAAAAGTAATTTAATGACCTGGAAATTACCTGGAACAACTCCTTAAAGCTAAAGTAAGCAGTCATTTTCAATGTCTGACATTCTATTAATATAATCAATGTACAAGACTAGAAAAATGAATGATTAGTACACAAACCTTTTAAGTAAAATGTGAAGAAGGTATAACAAGTAAATGTAAAAGACAACACTTAAAATCAAGCTATAAGCACTTTATCCAGCAAATCCGTGATTACTATAGGCGGTTTGAATTCCGATTCTGAAAAACCTGTACAACACAAGTTTTTAACTATACCCATTTAATTTTGTAAGCCAGACTACTCTGCTGCTGCTGCTGTCCTTCAGCTAGTTGAATATACACCACATACTTTACTATATTATACCATCACAAACAAAATAAACACGTTTTATTTATGCACTATATGCTCAGAAACCTTGGACAAAATAAAAGAGAATATAAATGAGAGCTGTATTTGATAGAAGGGCAACATAATTCATGAATGCTGTAGGACTACTCTTTTCAAAAGAAACCTTGTTGTAACATTAAGTTAAAATCCCAGCTAAGAAACATACTCACCCTTTAAAATATAGTCTGTTAACAAGCTTGGCACTTTCTCGCTATCCTCTTTCATGGCATGGAGGACTGAAATATGAAAAAAAAAATCAGATATTTAGTCATAAAGACAACACTCTCAAAAGAAATACCATGAAGCCGTTTCAACTACTCATAGGGATACTACTACCACAGTAGTAAGAAAACTCTTAACTGGAATATGAGAAGATATGATGAGAGACATCGTATCTCCACCTTTCACTTGCGTAATTCTCACTGAATATCACAGCAGATGGATGCAAGAGACCCATTTCATGTGGTTAATTACTACAGTAAAATGTCACCAGTCATAACAACAAAAAAAAGCACCTCTTAACTATAAAAAAATCCCTTCAAAAGAAAGTCACGACATCCAAACCTAAAATATGCTAACAACTGCTGCGGGGTTGGAAATCTCAGGTAAAAAAGTATGCTCCATTACTTAATTTATTTGCTTGATCTTCGTCCTGAATCACGGAATAATGACAATTTTCTGGAGAAAAACTGCTGTGAATGATTTGATGAAAATGTTGGTTGTTTTTTTTCCCCTGAAATGGTGAACGTTACCAACTGTAGCTTAGAAAAATCTTAAATAGATGATTGAATTTGGCATTAACTTAGAATAATGCCAAAATGCCATTCCTGTGACTTATATCAAACCAAAATTGTCCATCCTTGCATATTTCTGAAGAAGGAAAAACATTTGGACTAGCTCAACTTGACACATACAAGCTTGTCTGTTACTCCATAAACAAAAACAATGACAATCCTTTATGAAGTGCTCTGGACACAACTGAAAGAATCACAAGTACAGAATTATACTGAATAGCAGTTTTTCATAAGCTCCAAATTCCTCATATGAGACTCTGAACTTGAAACATAACAAGTGCTTTATTTCAATTTTTATGTTGAAGAAAGATATTAGTGTTCATAACTACGGAATAATACACAGATTTGAAAGAAATACCAACCAAACAACCCCGAACACCTGCTTTATGGTCTGCCTTAACAACAGCACAGAGAGCGAGTCAGAAACCTCCAACTGAGCCACAGGATCAAGTTCCAGCCAGCCCACAGAAGGCAGTACCGCTAATACTCTTTACAGTGCATTTGTACAAGACATTTTGTTAATAAACTGTCAAACAACGCAAAACATTTTCAGGAGGCTTTAACCTCTCTCTGCTTAAAACTGCATTTTTGAGAATATTTTCAAGTAAAATTTAAATATGGCAAGAGGATAAAATTTCTCTGCAGGAGTAAATATAAAATGAAAAATCCATTTGTCACGGACTAAGTATGAATTATCAGCTAAGGGTGTCTACTGCAGAAAAATAAAAGCAATTTAATTCTTGCTTAAACATTTAATTTACTTCAGAATTCGCACAATACTTATTTTCTCTCTCCAGGAAACAACCAATGAACCTTTTACCATCCCTCAGCCACCTGTGGAATCACAGACCTGTGCTGCTGGAAAGTACCTTAAGGCGTAGTTAGATCCAAAGCCCTGCACTGACATCTGATCAAATACATTGACACACTATCATCTATTTTTAAACTGTTCCTATAAACCTCAATGAAGGAGATGTCAGTGACTCCCAGAGATGCTTTGCTGTATTTAACCACCTTAATAATTATTTTTTTTTAAATACAACATTTTATTTCATGTGAATTAGAATAAAAATCCAGAGGACTTAGAACTTGCAAATAATTTTGAGGATCTAGCCTAAAAAGATGTGAAAAAAGGGGAATTCAAAGCACTGTCAAAACTCTGTTTGGTTTATAGTCCCCAATTATTAAAATTTATTAAGAAGAACAAAAAAAACACCCCACCCAGAGAGAAGCAGGCTATTTTAAAGGCAATCACGTGCAATCATTAGACAACTACTCATAAGTGTCCCAACCTCCATTCCAATTTTTGAAAGTCATTACAATAACCACAATAAAGCACAGCAAGTTTAAACAAGCAGGGGTATATCAGGTACTATAAGATAGTACTGCCACTTCCATGACATGTGGTATTTCCATAAGGCCCACCTGTTGAAATAATGTGAGAATATTTACTTTCTGATATGTCCAAATTTCTAGCCTTCAGGGTTTCAAAGCGCAGCTAGAAAACAAACATACTGTGAAGGCTCAGAAAACAAGTAAAAACTGGCCAAAATGCATGGTTAAAAATTGTGCAACTTTACATACATGTCATAGGGTAAGGAGGAAGAGAGAACTGTACAATTCATTGGCTTTGAGCAACCACAGTTGGAAATAGAAAGAGGAAAGGAACTTCATATGCTCACTTTTGGTTAACGTCTGAAGATCTTCAACAGACGGGGGTCCATTTTTCTTCTCATAAGGAATGACGGTTGTTAAGTACTGTCAAAGGAAAAAACAGAGTTACCTGACAGTCCTTTCATGCAATTTGTGTTGCTTGCATTTTATTTTGCAAAAAATTGTAGCAATTGAAATTGCTAGCCACAAATAAAAGCTTTTCAAAAGATCATATTTTACAAGAGATTAAGATTCTACCTCTCCGATCCCAGAGCTTTTATCACAGAAGCCAGCTTTTTTTTTTTCAAATGATGTGAACATCACTTTAAAAGTCATGCAGCTAAACATTAGAAAAAAGTATTTAAAAAATTGGAGCTGTTTACAGTAAAAAGTTTCTCCATTAGGTTTCTTCCTCAGAGCTACCAATAGTAAAATCTTTCCTCTCCTCCCTCCAGAAGTCAACCAGAAGTCCTTTACGTATTTAAAGTACTTCTTACAATGAAATTAAAGCTGGAAGAACAACTTTCCCACCACCTCCCCTCAAACAACACTATAAATGCAGATGAACAATTTTCACACTTGCTCTTAAAAAAAAGTAAGTACAAATATCACGTGAGTGTTGCAAGTTGTATCAAAAATGAGAAAGTAATTCTTTCTTTCCGGTAAGTATATTAAAAAAAAAAAAAATCTTCCCAGGTAAATATTGATGTTGCCTTCAAATCATTTGGGAAACGGATAACAGTCAGCTTTTTAAAGGATTCCAGAGCACAACTGATACAGGCTGTGGGGGCACAAGAAGTAATGCGTTCAGGTTTGTACAAGTGTGCTAACAAGTTGTTTTGGGTTTTTTTTCGGGGGGGGGGGGGAAT